TTTTCTTTTTTGGGTTTATCGATATTCCATCAATCTTGAATCTTGATAAAATTGTAGCTTGTTGTGAGTTTAGTACAGGGTTTGGAAGAAGTGAAGCTTCTTTGGAAGTTAAATTTGGAATCGTTTTGGTTTCCTACATTAGAAAGAATAAATCCCTTAATTGATTGCGAATACAAGTTGAGTTATTAATAGAATGAATAATTTAGGGTTATAGTGATCCATTATATGCTTTGGGATAAATTAAACTAGTGTCTGCAATTAGAGTTCAGACCTCTTCTCAGGTTACATGAAGAAGGTGGATTGGTTAAAACTTTTACCTAATAATAATCTAATTATCTGCATCTTATTCTTGTGGTACAGAATCAAGAAACTTATATCAAGATACTCAATACACAAGAAAACATTAAAAGGAATAGTGCAAGCTGAAGAATGCAATGCTTCGTAAAGATGATGTTGAAAATAAAACTTAAATGTTGGTGAGTCACAGTTAATGGCTAACAACTTTATATCTTGGTTTTCTATTATTGTTTCATGGGTCACTTATCTATGATATTGTATGGCTTATATGTAATCTAATGCTTTGGGAACTCAGTTCACTTCCCATGGTTTAATTTGATTAGGATGGGTAATGAGAAAGAGGAGTTAATAAGTTAGATTGTGTTTTTTTCCACCCTATTGTCAATTCAGGGCATACATTGTAACTTCTTTTTGTAAGCTTGAGAAGAAGAGAAACAACAAGCTTTGTTGAGTTGTGTAGTCTTATGGTTGTGGTTGAAATCTTAGGCCCAAAATCTCTCTACATATGAATCTCATGTGTTTGTAAACTCAATTCATGTGAACCACTGTGTTCTCTTTTGTGTACCTTAATTTGTGTGTGTTGTGTGTTGGTCATTTGTTTTCCCTAACAAGCTTTGTGTAAGTGGTAATTAAGTAATAAGATTTGGGAAATATTTATCTCATTTCATCGTGAGGTTTAGCACTCCCTTACTTACACGATATAATGTAAATAGGAAACTACAAAAATGTAACACTAAGTTATCATGTGACCCTAATTGTAGTGGGTGTTTCACTATGGGATCGGGGACAAGCTGCCTCATGCAAAGTGATAAAACACGAGAGAGGGTGTTGGATAATCAACATGTGTTTATACCATTCACGTTTGATATTTTTGGTTTCCTTGCATCAGAGGTTGTGGAGCCTGTAAAGTTTCTAAATACAGTCCAACTGGTCATGCATAGTAATGTTGGGACCCCAAGATCTATGGATGTAGCTTTTAAAAGAATTAGTTTTGCCAACCACAAAGGTTTAGATGCGTAGTTTGTTATCTGTTTGCCTTCCATCTCGATGTAAAACATTTGTAAAGGATTTGGATTGAATACCAGAGCTCATTAGGTTTTGAGTTGTCTGATACTCATCCTTAAGTTGGAGCAAAGATGTCAATCGCCCCCAATGGATAAAATATATTTGTGCTTTTTGTTGCGGTTTTGTGAGAATGTGAGGAAGCTAAGAATTGGATTGGTGGAGGGTTTATTGGTTCAAGATACTAACTTAAAGGAGATGTCACTATCACATAGTTAAATATCCCAATGGATCTCATATATTGGTATGGATCCTTAATAGGTTTTTTCATATTTAGGAAGAAGTTTGCACCCCTAGTAAACCACACTAGTGTGGGAATATCAAGAACATACTTTCGTTGACATGGTAGATTTCTTTTGTGGAGACTTGTATATTTCTATCCCATGAAAGTAATGAAGGCGTACAATGTGAAGTGCTTTGACTTTGAAATCATACTACTATCATTTCCAATGATGATGATGATGTCATTTCCAGTGATGATAACTTTTCACGAACCTGATGATATTGTAGAACATAGAGAATCAAATAATCTTCCATACTGAATTTCCTAGGTTTATTTTTGTGAGAAAGCATCTAAGGTATGCGAGAACTAGAATACTTGCTTCATATATAGTTTTCTGTTAAGTCAAAGTTGTTGGCACCATTGACTTAAAAAATAATTTCTTTATATATACTTCTCTGAATTTTTCTCCCTCATTTGAGATGGAAGAGAACATGTCTCTTTTGGTTTTAAAGATTATGCATATTGGCAATGCTGCCAATGCAGCATGTAGAAGTGCTTAATGTTTTGTCTCCTTTCAAATTTTTTCATATATTGTGAAGTTATCACTTAAAGTTTCTGGTTTTCTAAAAAACAGGACTCTATAATCTCAAAACATTCCAGATGCTTACATGTATCTAGTGTCTCCGTAATTTAATAGGTTTAGGGTGGATTGCTAAATAGTGAGCCTCTTCATGCATTACTATTAGATACATTGGTCAAACAAGTCATCCCTAAATGTCTTAATTCTAGTGTTAGGATTTTATGAGGAAAGCCTCGTGTTCTCTGACTTTCTCTATCAAGTCATTCTTTTTGCATTAAGTCAAAAAGAAACACTTATATATAGCTTACTCGCACTAAATACAAAATTATGTCTGGTGATGGATGATTATTTTCATTTCTGACCCTTTATGAACACATTACACAACTTTTATAAAAATCTATATTGACTGAGAAGAAATTTGATTTCTTGTTGACAGTGTGAAGAATTATGGGCTAGCAAAGCACATATACCTCGTGTCTCCCAAACAGAGGGATTGTCAAAGTTGGCTGCTTACTCCTTATCTGTTATGGATGGAAAACGTGTATGTTTCTCTCTTACATCTTTCTTTTCAAAAATGCAAGAGATAGCAATTTACTTCATTTTATTTCTTTATTATTGCATCCTACTTTCATTTCTTCCTATTACAACATTGTACTTTACAAATCTTAAAATTGGGTAGATTTTTCAAGGTACAATGCCCTAATAAGAACAAAAAGAAAAAAAAAAAAAAATTGTTGTGATAGTCTAATAAAAAGAAATGGAAGTAGGACGATATAATAAACAATTAAATGGAAGTATTTTGGTTTTTCTATTTCAGAGCCGAATCATGAAGGAAGACTTGTGGGATCATGCTTGGGAGTTTCACTTTAAAAAGGCATGTGCTTTTTACTTGTATTATCTAATATCTATTCTTGTTGACTTTTAGTATAGGCTTAATGTCATAGAAGGGCAACCAACTATTGATAGGTCATTAAACATCTAATATGTTTCAAATTGCACCTTTGGGATCAATTTTAATAGAGTGAAATCCTACATGGCGTGTTGTTGCAAAAAAAAAAATTCTAATTCTCGGATCAATTTTAACAGGGAAAACGCATATGCAATCCTACATGGCATTGAGATCATATTTGTTCATATTGATTGGCAAATTTGTTCATATTATGTCCACGTGGCATGGAGATCAACTTTAATAGGGTGTACCTGTATTCAATCCTAGGTGGCATCCAACATCGCACCTAGCAAAACTTGTTCATATGTTGTCCACGCAACGAGATCAATTTTAACATGGTGTCCACGTGAACTTCTACTTAACTTTATTTTCTTAGGAAAAAAAATGACACGTGGATGCCATGTCAGCACCACCACATGGACATAATATGGAGAGAGTTTGTCAGCAGAATGGCAAATTGATCCCAGTGGTGTAACTGAAAACATGAGTCGATTTAAATGATTGGTGACTTTGAGCATCCATAGTATAAGTTTTTTAAACCGAAAAGCTCTTCAAATTAAAAAAAAAAAAAAAAAAAAAAGCTATAAGAGGAGCTTTTTCAGATCAAAGTTTTTTCAAGTTGCTTGCTAGTTAACAATCTCCTCCCATGAGCAGTGATTGTGTGGGTCCCAACTCCCATATGTTCTCAACCAAGTATAAATAAAAACAATCCATAAAAAGCTAAGTGAAAAAAGCTCTTCAATTGTACAGATAAAAGCAACTTTCTCATTTGAAGCTTTTTCATGAAAAATCTCTCTCCTATTGTGGATTCTCTTAGGGGCTGTTTGGTAAATCCCGAACTGAATGGTTCCAAACTCTCAACGGTTAAGAGAAGGTAAGCTTTCTTAACCGTTCAGAGGCGGGTCCAAGGTTTTTGGTTCATTCAGAGGATGAACCAAAAACCAAACACACTGAATGAATGCTGAACGATTCATTCAGAGGTTACCAAACAGCCCCTTAGACAACATACGATGAATAGTTGGTTGCCAATTTATGACATTAACCTTTCGGTATAAAATACATTCAACTTATGAGATTTGCCATTGCCACCATATTGCCGCCAGTCAGCACCAGAATTCTGGCGGGACTTGGATCCATACTGGAAAGGAACAGGCAGACCAATGCGTCGCTACTTTCATCCGGATGGAAGTCAAACTGCGGATCCTGGTGACAAGGTGTGGGGTGGACATGAGTGTTGTTACTCCATTGTTACAAGTTTCTTGGCAGATGGGAAGATTAGGAAGCATTATGTTAGGATCAATAGATGGCCACAGATGTTGATTTCAAGGGGATGTGATTGGGGGTGGAAGATGTCTAATGAGCTTTTCTGCTACTCGAGTGTTCCAGATGCTGAAAAGAAAGGTGGCACTGGTCCTTGTTTTGTTTGATAGTTTTTTGAGATTTTGTGTTGTTTTGTTTAAATGTAGTTGAAGTTGTTTGTTTGGTTGATGGTGATTGTGAATTCGTGATTGTTGGTAATGTATGAATGTAAAATAAATAATGATTTGCTTGTTATAATGTTTTGTATTTGGGGGTCAGAGAAAAAAAAATGACTCTTAATTAGTTTCATTTTTTGTTATAAAACCAAAAAAGCAACAAACCGAACCATAAAAACCCATATTTAAGTTGTTATTTACCAATTAAAATTGGATATTACGTGACAAACACTTACAATGACACATTTCAGTTCTATCTAAAAGAGTCCAAAACAGTCCACTCTAAAACAGTCTAAATCAACCCAAAATCAAATATGTTATTTTGTCAACACATTGTAAGAATTTGTAAGTAGTAACCATCTAATCAGTTTTAAAGGGTTTTTTTTATGTCTCTTGTTGGGTTGCTAACCAGTTTTAGGGGATATGCCTCTTGGTCTGTTAAGATGTTGGGTTTGACTAACTCGGTTAGGTTAGATTAAGACTGTTTGATGTGCTTGGTCTAGACTGTATTCAACTGACTTAGTTAGACCTGACTTAATCAGCACCTATCAAACAGCTCTTAGTCGATAAATAATTGCTTAAATGAATAAAATTCATCCAGTTTTTCTATAAAAAAAACATAATGTGTTTTCAGGTAAAAGACTTAAAATGTAAGTGTTTTTCTAAAATTTGCCCCATTGAATACTACACAACCAAACAAACACTATCATGGATACAAAAATGATACACACTACACAATTACAAACCTTCAACAACTACTCATCAAGATATTAATAACAATTCGATTAATTGAAAAGAAAAAAAAAAAACACCAACAATTTATCTTATGATATAGCATAGGGCCATAGTCAAAATGCCAAATACCAATACACTAGATATAGGCATATATAGCAAGTAACTTTCTGGTGTCACAACAAAAGAAGGTCAAATCTTGACCTAATAGTTAAAAGCAGCACAAAAAATCAC